CTTAACCAACTGAGCCACCCTGGCATCCCTACCCTGGCTATGATTCTAAATTAAATGTAAACTTTTTTTTTCTGACAACTAATTAAGGGCTCTTGAGTATGGAAGAGTCCTCAGTATTTCCTTCAGGATAACAGTAATACAAAGGAGAGCTTGCTTTGGAACAATACCCATGTATAAGGAGATAAGTTTGATCTGTTTGTGATTTAGGGTAACATAACAAAATTGGAGTTTGTGGTACAGACTATATTGGAAACTTCGACAGAAAGAAAACCTAGGGATCTGTGTACAATCTCTAAACTTTCTTTTCTAGATTTCTTTTCCTTCTGTTTTCTAGAATTAACCATTCTCTCATTGCCCATTCATACTTAAACCATGATTAATAATGCTGCAAATAGTCCTCAAGTAAACAAGTGGCAAGTTTTCTTAATTTTGTTAACCAAAACTCTTCCAGCTTATTTAAGAATCCCAACATGTGGGGCGCTTGGGTGGCTCAGTCAGTTGAGCATCTGACTTCGGCTCAGGTCATGATCTCGCAGTTTGTGGGTTCGAGCCCCACATTGGGCTCTGTGCTGACAGCTCAGAGCCTGGAGCCCGTTTCAGATTCTGTGTCTCCCTCTCTCTGCCCCTACACCACTCACGCTCTGTCTCTCTCTCTAAAAAATAAATTTAAAAAATTAAAAAAAAAAGAATTCTAATATGTCCACAGGGATAAAAAGAAACTTCCTAATTACATGAAATTAGAATAGTTTCCTTTGTACATCGATCAAATCTTTGTACCATAAGCAAAGCCAGGTCAAAGTTGAGTAATTTCAGTAATATATCATCACTCTTCCATCCACTTACATACCACCTACTTTAAAATCAAAACTGTTCATATTTCAACTCTCTTTAGGACTCCAAGAGAAAAATGTAGGTTTTGAATGTACGTGATCTACGTTGTATGACAGTTTACGTAGCATTGACAAAATGATAATAAAAAAACACCAAAGGATATAAAAATGTAACTAGAAACATGTAACAGTCTGTGGACTTCATGATCCTATATAAATATAAAAGTGTAAATTATATAGATGAAAGGGTTCCAGAGTGGCCCCTCCCAGAATGTGTCACTTTGACATGTGAGTTATTGTGAACACAAAGCCCCTGAAACCCTGTGTCTCAGGAGATACTTTTGTCCCTCTCTTAGCCACACAGAAAAATCTCATTTGGGGTATTTCACAGAATATGAATTATTGGAGATACATTTTACCTGAGTGAGTCCTCTGTATGTAGAACAGCCAATTAGCAAACATCTGCTTTTCTTTTTTTTTTTTTTTTCAACGTTTATTTATTTTTGGAACAGAGAGAGACAGAGCATGAACAGAGGAGGGGCAGAGAGAGACGGAGACACAGAATCGGAAACAGGCTCCAGGCTCCGAGCCATCAGCCCAGAGCCTGACGCGGGGCTCGAACTCATGGACCGCAAGATCGTGACCTGGCTGAAGTCGGACGCTTAACCGACTGCGCCACCCAGGCGCCCCTACTTTTCTTATCACCCTATGAACTGCACTGTTTTCTTGTAAAATCCTAGACCCCTGTCCCCTTCTCCTTAGTTCAGAAGGACATATATTTCTGATTGTGCCTGTGTTTGGAATGTCTATGTGGATTCCCATACATATGCCGATTAATGTTGATTTCCTCCTGTTAACCTGTCTCATGTCAATTTGATACTTGGTCTGGCCAGAAGGACCTTGAGAGGGACAGGGATTCTTGCTCCCTGACAAAGACGTGGGTATTCACAAATCAGTAAACATCGAACAACCATCTCTCTGGGACGAGAAGTCCTGATTCGTAGCACTGGTCATTGTCCATACTCACGGTGGCCACCACGGCCACAAAGGTGAGGTCACTGAACTCAGTGTAGGGAAGGGAGCTCACCATCGGTCCTCAAACAAGTAGGAGTCAGCTTTTCAGCTCCTACAATACACTTTTTTAAGTAAATTATTTTATCTAAAAAGTAGAGGCAATGTGCCATTCTTTATCTTGTAGGAAAGTGATGTGCTGTAATATTTTGGAAAACGATATGGCAGTATTTACCAAGATTAAAAGTATATTCCTATACACACATATGCATATACAATTTTTCCCATAGTGATTCCATTTTTAAATTATGTATTTTGGGGTGGTGCCTGGGTGGCTCAGTCGGTTAAGCAACTGACTCTTGACTTCAGCTCAGGTTACGATCTCATGGTTCCTGAGGTTGAGCCCCAAGTCAGGCTCTGTGCTGACAATGCGGAGACCACTTGAGATTCTCTCTCCCTCTCTCATTACCCCTCTCCCACTTGCTCTCTCAAAATAAATAAACATTTAAAATAAATAAATAAATAAAACTATTAAAAGGATGTAGCTCTGACAGCTTTTTTTTATTTATTTATTTATTTTTTTAATTTTTTTTTCAACGTTTATTTATTTTTGGGACAGAGAGAGACAGAGCATGAACGGGGGAGGGGCAGAGAGAGAGGGAGACACAGAATCGGAAACAGGCTCCAGGCTCTGAGCCATCAGCTCAGAGCCTGACGCGGGGCTCGAACTCACGGACCGCGAGATCGTGACCTGAGCTGAAGTCGGACGCTTAACCGACTGCGCCACCCAGGCGCCCCATCTCTGACAGCTTTTAAAAACACCAAGAAGCTTATAATCTCCTATATTTAATATTCCCATTTTATAGTATAGGATTATAATTTATAATAAAAATTGTTACAGATAAATTAACCTTTTCTTTCACTTATTACCAGTTCCAATCCTTCCTCTTGCTAATTCACGCATATCCTAGTATTTCATAATTTTATCCCTGAAATGCTAACCACTTACCACTCTCTCTCTCTCTCAGTTGTGGGCAGTCTAGCAAATTGCATACCAATTGTTCCAGAAGCCTTCAAAAATATTTTAAATTAAACATAAATTCAAATGTTTTTGCTTGAACTTCTTTAAAAAAAAGCTCATTTTACTTGAACTTCTTTTTAAAAAATAGCTCATTTTAATAGCACAAGAAAAACTGATATATTCCACAGCAATCTTATTTTTCCTTAAATTTTATTAGAGATTCACAGTCAAGCAAGAGAAGCTATGTTTTTTTCTTCTCATTTTCACTGTGTAGAAAAACTATTAAAAAAAAGATTTCAGGGTTTTGAGGAGCTCTGAGAGGAACCCCCCAGTAGATATTAGTTTCTCCTATATCTGCTGTTTGCACTCCAATCTCTGCCCGTGGACACCAAGATACTGACTTGAGAATTTGGAACGAAAATTTAGAAATCTGGCTTCAAAACTTAGATCTCTATCTACATATATCTACTATCTACCGACTATATAAAATAGGCAAATTAAATTCATATATATATGTAAATAAATATACTTTTATATAAGCAAATATATTTATATATATTAAATATATAAAATAACGTTAATGTAAATATATATTATATATTTAATTATAATTATACACAAACTTCCCTCCTTTCTGGCAAAATATCTCTGGCTAAAAAGTGGCCATTTAGTGACACCTTATCGCATATAAACTTGTTCGTAACAGCTGATGGAGGATGCTTTCTTTTTTCCACTCTGAGTGGTCTTCATGCTCTGGTATAGAAGTAGAATGACATTGCTTAGGAATCCTTTAAGACACAGGCTGGCTTCAGAGTCTAATAACCTATTCGGAACATGATCTTGTCACTTGCTATGGACTTTTTCAATATTGGAAGCTATCTGTAGCCAGCCCTGTCAGATTTTTGCTGAAATACTAGCTCTATTCTTCTTATTAACAAATTCCTCTCCTCCTCCTCCTTTCTCCTCTTCCTTTTCCTCTATCTCCTCCCCCCTTTCTCCTCCTCCTTTTCCCCTCCTCCTCCTCCCTCTTCTCCTCCTCCTCCTCCCCCTCCCAGTCCCCCTCTGACTCCTCTCCACCCCCTTCCCCAGGTTATCAGTGTGTCCAGCATCAGGAGATGCACAGAACTTGGTGCAATCTAGAGCTGGCTTCCTCACCCCTTTTGCTACATAAGACTTCCTCAGCTTCCTTTCTCTAGGCTGACTCTGTGATCCCAGGCTGGAGAGGGAAGTTAGAAGAGAGAGGACTCTGGGCAGGAGTTTCCTCACAGTCAAAGGATGATCAGCAAACAAGAAGAGTCCTGGTTTCACCCCCTTTCCACCTGCTGGCAGTCAGACCTGAAATGCAGCCGTGGTGTTTAGGGCTGTGGTAGTCACTAGCACCTGACGAACAGGACACTGGGAAAATGGCCAAGTGTCAGGAAAGGGGCCCAGTGTGAGGGCAGAAGAAACCCGGTCCTTGGTGATATACCTGAGGTGCCAAACCAGCACCTGATCCACACACAGCTGGGGCTTTATTAAGATAACAATAAAAGTCCACGTTATATAAGCGACTGGTTTTCAGCTTTTCCCTTCCTGCTGTACATACATCCTGGTTACAGTCCCAGTAGCTGACATCTAGTGAGCAGGTGTTCAAGAAATGACAGCCAAGGGGGAAAAGATTACCAACTGGACACGTCTTCTCTTTCTTTGGCATACATGGCGATCCCCCAGGGAGTAAAACATTCAGGTATTCCACTTCCACCCTGTGAGATGTTTGCACAGAGGGTCTGAGGCAGAGCCCGGGAACCTGCGTGTTTAGTATGCACTGAGGTGATTCTCCTGCAGGTCACACTCTGTGTCACATTCTGTGTCACATTCTGTGTCACAATTTGAGAAATGCTTCAGGGCAAACTAAAGCCAAATTACCGAAGGGTGGGAATGTGACTCAGAGTGAAGGGAACAGTGGGTAGAAACACTCCTCCTGTTCCATTCCATCCCATTCCCCATCTAGAAGAACAGAACATATAAATTTTGCTGTGGGCAGCCTACCCCGTTGAGGCCATAAATTCCAGCGGGCACTCTGTGAGCACTGACACATTTTGGGAGAGTTCTTTATTCCTAAGCTCCCAGGAGGGAAGCGAGGGGGAATGAATACTCACATTAGCTTGGATGATGACAAAGTACCGAGTCTTGTCTTCATAGTTGAGCCTCTTCCTTAACACCACATTCCCAGTCAACATGAGGGGGATTTCAAAGGTGTCATTGGATGTCTGCCAACAGGGAGAGGGACAGAATCAACTCATTTGAATAGAAGATGAATTAGAGAATGCGGTATTGCAGCTGAGTCTCCCAGAAAGTTACAGATAGTAGGTTTATCTCCTGAAAATTGGATGTTGCCTGTAAGCTTCCGATTTAATACTCCTTTCGTGTCTAAAAAGTTTCCATGCTGATGAATGGGTTTTACCAGAGTCATTTGATAACAACCTGGAAACTCGTCATCTGTGAGTTTTTAATGTATTTTTAGGGTTACCCTGGGACACTTCTCAACCAAACTGCAAGTATCTAAACATCTTCTCTATTACCACCATTTGTTTTATCACCCAAGAGCCCCAAGCATCACAATTGGTGATCTCTACATAATATCCCTTTTCAACGTTGTTGTCAGGGAAGAAATGGAGGAGGAGGATGGTGACCTGTACGTGGTTCTGTTAGCTCGCGCATCATTAACCAAAACACGTCATTCTTCCAACCAAAAGAAAGCGCATTCCTGGTACATCTCCAAGGAGAGGAAGAACAAGAACATTTTGGAAACGAGCACAAATGCTTTTGCTTTGAATTTGGTTAATCAGCTGAGCAGCTATTAATCCCTGAATTTGTTCCTTATTTGTTGTATTGTGTTGTATTATTATATATATATATATTTTTTTTTTTATTTGAGAGAGAGGGAGAGAAAGTGGGGAAAGGGGAAGAGGAAGAGAGAGAGAGACAGAGACCCAAGCACACTCTGTGCTAGTGCGGAGCCTGATGTGGGGCTCGACCCCACGAACCGTGAGATTATGACCTGAGCCGAAATCAAGAGTTGGACGCTCGACCTACTGAGCCACCTACGTGCCCCAATTCCTCATTTATTTGAGATAAAATTCAATGACAATGATGGCACAAGAGAAGAAAAATGAAGAGAAACAAGAGAGAAGAAAGCTCAATGTTAACTACTCTGATTTTGCTCATGGGTTAAAAGAGTTTGCAATGTTGGTAATTACAATTTTATGATTTTGGCTAGTAAAAATGCCTGCTTCTTCTCTATTCCACATGCAGTATAAATGTTCATTCACATCATAAAGAAAATATAGGTAGGTTAAGAAAGATGTAGGGGCGCCTGAGTGGCTGAGTCATTTAGGCGACCCACTTCAGCTGAGGTCATAATCTCATGGTTCACAAGTTCAAGCCCCATGCTGGGCTCTGTGCTGACAGCTCAGAGCCTGAAGCCTGCTTCAGAATCTGTGTCTTCCTCTTTCTCTGCCCCGCCCACACTCACACTCCATCTCTGTCTCAAAAATAAAATAAAAACATTGAAAAAAGAAAGATGTTAACAAGGCAGGTGACCATCTTCAATTTACCCTGTATTATAGCCAAAATAGAACCTTTATCTCCTCTATTTTGTATATATTTGTAAAAAAAAAAACCAAATAAACAAACAAACAAAAAGAGACTTTCCAAAGTAGATGTTTATAGGACATTCAAAAATGATGACATAACAGTAGGTATGGCAGACAGATTCCTATGGGAGCCCTCTCTATCCCCACTTCCTGATGGGCATCCGCACCTTTGTGTAAACCCTCCACCTTGAGTGTAGACAGGATCTGTGACCTGTTTGTAATCATCAGGATACAGCTTAGGTGATGAGCTGTCACTCTTATGGCCACATTATGACATATAAGACTCCATGTTGCAAACAGACATGGTCTAGACACTCTCCTTGCAGAAGTCACAGGGTAAACAGCCAAAGAACTAAGTGTGGTCTCTTAGAGCTGGGAGAAGCTTCTAGCCAACAGCAAGCAAGATGCCAAGGGCCTGTGTCTTACAACCATGGAGAAACAATTTCTGACAGCAGCCTGAGTTCACTTGGAAAGAGGTCCTTCCTTAGTTGAACCTCCACCAGAGAACCAATATGCTCAACACCTAGACTACAACCTTGTGAGAGCCTAAACAGAGAGCCCAGCTTAGCTGAGCCTAGAGTCCTAAGTCACAGAAACTGTGCAAACATCAGTGTGTGTTGTTTTAAGACACTAAGTTTGTGATGGTTTGCAACACAGTAGTAGATAACTAACACACTATGCTAATCCCCAAGACTCACCTAAGGGATCACTGGTGACATATAGTAATGGCAACTGATTATCTGCTATGATTGCTGAGTCTTCAACATAATAATTTCAAGTGATATTATATTTGTTATTTCTCTAATATTTAGGAACACACAGACATGAGGATAAACTCAAACATGTTCTTGTGTTAGAATCATCCTCTTTTTTAAAATACAGAGACAAATGGACAACACATGTCCCCTTGGTTTTCAACAATTCCTCCAATTCTCCCTTTCTTAAAGAGAAAACAGCTCGACATAGATTTGGAATTCCAGTGCTTCCGGTAATAAACTGGTGCCAGCGGTAGGGGCGCCTGGGTGGCTCAGTCGGTTGAGCGTCCGACTTTGGCTCAGGTCATGATCTCACAGCTCGTGAGTTCGAGCTCCGGATTGGGCTCTGTGCTGACAGCTCGGAGCCTGGAGCCTGCTTCAGATTCCGTGTCTCCTTTTCTCTCTGTCCCTAACCCACTTGCATTATGTCTCTATCTCTCTAAAAAATAAACAAACATTAAAAACATAAAAAAAAAAAAAAAGAAAAGAAAAAACTGGTGCCAGCAGCAAATGAGCTGATAACTCGTCACCGAAGATCCACAGCCATCAAGGAAATGGAAGCACGTTCTTCCATTGCTATTAAAACTTTGAAATGATTGTATCATTGTTGCTGTTGCCTGATATTCGGGAAGGCCAGAATGGTTGAGAAGCAAAAACAAGTATGTGCCCTTGTCTTCTAAATGTATACTGAAGAAAGGAACTTATTGAGCATTAATCGTTCTGTTTCTATATGGTTGATTATCTCCCACTTGACTCAGTCTTTCCACAAACAACACCTGTAAACTCTGGGAAAAACACAAAAGGCAAAGGATACCAGATACCCCTCAAGAGATAACCAAAGCAGACATACTCTGGGAGATGTCACACACTTGAAAGAAGAGACAACATGGGTGAGTTTGCTGCTTTATGGTAGTTAGTAGCTTGAGGGCCAGTTACAACTCTGACAGAAAGTCTATCTGGCCTGAAGAATCGGGGATAGATTTTGGGACAATCAAAGCTGATGGAAGAGGAGGGGAGGGGCGATCAGAAAGGAGAAAGCCAGGAAGGGAGAGGACAAAATCCCACTTAGAAAGGGTGTTCAGGTCTGTAGGTGAACTCCATGCCACACCTGCATGAGGGAGACTATAATAGATGGACTAAGGAAAAATGTATACTAAATTGAGATTTGAGCTACCCCCCAGAGTTTTTTAACTTAAATCCAACCACGTTCTCTGGTAGATTAAAAACAAACAAAAAAATCTTTTCAGAGGAATATGATAGAATTAAAAGTCTCTCCAGAACATCACATTCACAATGTCCAGGAGAGGGTTCAAAACAACTTGACCAATGATGAACCAGGAAATGTGATCCCTTTTCAAAAGAGGGAGAAAGTCAGGAAAGGCCAATGTCAGGACAAGTAGACACAGATTTCAAAGCAGCTATTTTAACCATGTCTGTGCTCAGAGATGTAAAAAAAAATGCTCACCACGAGGGAAAACAAGAGAAATCTTAGCAAAGAAATGTAAACTTAAAAATATTGGGGCGCCTGGGTGGCTCAGTTGGTTAAGCATCCAGCTCTTCATTTCAGCTCAGGTCATGATCTCATGGTTCATGGGTTCAAGCCCCACATCGGGCCCTGTGCTGACAGCACGGAGCCTGCTTGGGATTCTGTCTCTGTCCCTCCCCTGCTTGCTCTCTATCTCTCTCTCTCTCTCAAAACAAAACAAAACAAAACAAATAAATAAACATTAAAAAAATAAAAATAAAAATGTAGAAAATTTAGGCCTGAGGATTATACTAGCTGGAAAAGAAGAAAAAAGAAATAGACCACTTGACACATTGGACAGATTCATTTGGAAACCAGAACCCCTGCTGTCATATTTCTATTTCTTCAGAGAGAAGGGAAATCTAGATTTGAATGTGAAATTTCATGGTTTTTAGATATTGGCTCAAAAAGTATTTAAATTAAAATGTGGCCAAACAAAATGTTTGTGAATTGAATGAAACTCCAGGTCATTAATTTGTGATTTCTGCTAGTGATTAACATAGCGTCAGTTGGAAGACAGACAAATGAAAACCCTGAGAGTTTGAATTAGAACAAACCAGTCTACACTTTTACCATTACCATACCCTGTGGGACTAACATGAAAGAAATCATGACTGTGGCTACAAAAGCCAGAGGTGCCACGTTTTCAGGTTAAATCTATTTGTAATACAATGTTGTTCTGAAATGGAGAAATCAGTATTGGAATATTATGGTGTGAAGTTTAAAGGTGGTTTATCTCTGTAAGGATATGGCTGGGTCAATGCTTTCTCCCCCCGATAACCCTAAGGTAAGTGCTCGTGTGGTGTCTGATTCTTTTGTCTCACTGAATTAGGCCCATGGCCAGAGGATGTCTTTATTTATTCCACAGTAGTGCCACCTGGCTCAAGTACGTTCTTCTCATTCTGTAATTTGGACACTGCATGTGGCTGATGGGCATACCCAAACTACAGGTAGTAAAAGGTACATATTATGTTTGACGGTGAGCTCACGAATCCCTGAAAGGGGGGAAGACTGCAGAAGGAATTACTGCGTGGGTAACAAGGAGTTTCGGCCTCACAAAACTTCTAAAAGACGGCTCCTAAGTAATGCATTTTTTGTCTCACACTATTTCTAAACCTTGGATAGTTTTTTTTTTTTTTTTTAATGTTTATTTATTTTTGAAAAAGACAGAGAGAGACAGAGTGTGAGTGGGGGAAGGGCAGAGAGAGAGGGAGACATGGAATCTGAAGCAGCCTCCAGGCTCTGAGCTGCCAGCACAGAGCCCAACGTGGGGCTTGAACCCACGAACCGTGAGATCATGGCCTGAGCTGAAGTTGGACGCTTAACCAACTTGAGCCACCCAGACGCCCCAGGATAGGTTTGTTTTTAATGCAGTGTGATAATCCTTTCCCTAAAATCCATGGCCTGGCTGTTCCATTTTTACAGCTTGAAGAAGACAAGTTAGGAAACAGCCTTCATAAAATGTAAGCTAGAAACACAACACACACATACGATTAATTCTTTCAAAAACCTAAAGAGTAAGAAAGACAAACAGTTCAAACATGGGGCGTGAAGTAGCTGCCTGTTCCTACTGTTAAGGGAAAGCATTTCTCTTGTCCTTTTTTCCTCAGTTCCCTCTTTGATCGTGTCCACTCGATTTTTTGAGCAGACCTTCCTACTTACTGTCCTTCTCTTTCGCATTCTCATTACTTCCTCACTTCTCTGTCTCATTGCCTCTGCCTGCAAACACGTGGAGACATACATGTCAGGGGGTGAGACAAACACACAAAAACCATCCAGTCCCTTCTTAGACCCTGCTAGGCCCAGGGGATTTTCTGTTCTCCATTTTTGTTCCCCTAATGTTTACAAAAGTTTAGCATGAGGACTAAACCATTTTATCAGGATGCAGTGGAGACAGGGTGGAGCCCATGCTGACCTGAACCCGGTCCTGACTCCAGGGCTCAGAGGCACCAAGCAGAGCTGGCCAGCCACACACCTTCGAGCCCAGCTCCCTCCTACCCACCAACTGAGCTTCCAGAAGGATACAGCTGGAGGGGGCTATGCTGAGAGAAACAAGTCAGAGAAAGGCAGGTATCATGATTTCACTCCGGTGGAATTTAAGAAACACAGCAGATGAACACTGGGGAAAGGAAGAAAAAATAACACACAGCCTGGGAGGCAAACCAGTAACAGACCCTTAAATACAGAGAACAAACTGAGGGCTGATGGCGGGGAGGGGGCTGTTGGGTGGGGAGGATGGGCATTAAGGAAGGGACTTGTTGGGATGAGCACTGGGTGTCGTAAGTTAACTAACTTGAGAATTAAAAAAAAAAAAAAAAGAAAGAAAGAAAAGAAAACGAGACTGTGCTTTCACGACTCAGAGTTCTGAGGGTAGATTTGGGAGGTAAGTCCTGTCGGCCATTCTTGGTCTCTACAAGCTCAATGTTTTTGTTTGTTTTCATGTTTGTTTAAAGCTTATATGCCAAAACCATAATTTAAAAGTAAAGACAGAACATCAACTTCCACACCTTTCTTTTTCCCAATATTAAACATAAAGGAGAAGTAGTCACTGAGAAAATTCACTTCAGAAGTGCTGTGGGGCAGCCACGGTGCCCTGACAACCCGTCTGGGCTGAGAGGAGGAGGAAGACAGAGGGCGGTCATGCCAGCCCAGGCTCAGGTGGCCTTTATCAGCGTGCTCTCTCACGTACCAGAGTGGGGGAAACACTCTCACAGCCCCATGGGAGACGTGGTGCAGAAATCCCACGGTCTAATAAAAACATAAGTAACTATTCTTTAAAAAGACAAACGTGGGGCACCTGGGTGGCTCAGTCGGTTAAGCGTCCGACTTCAGCTTAGGTCATGATCTCGCGGTTGGTGAGTTCCAGCCCCGCGTCGGGCGCTGTGCTGACAGCTCAGAGCCTGGAACCTGCTTCAGACTCTCTCTCTTCCTCTTTCTCTCTGCTCCTCCCCCACTCACACTCTGCATCTCTCTCTCTAAAAAATAAATAAGCATAAAAAAGCCAGTGTCTGGCTCACATTCTGTCCTTCTCTCTCTCTCTCTCTCTCTCTCTCTCGCTTGCTCAAAAATAAGTATTAAAAAAAACAGCTTTGTCCCTTGTCTTCCTGAGGCTTCACTGGTGGAGAAGGGGCAGTGATGTCACTTTGTAAGAGCCACAAAGCACACGCATCACACTGGTGACGTCATCCCCGGTGGTTTATTTACGATGCTTAGGAGTCTGCACACATAATGGAAATGAGGTGACAATGGCATATTACACCTATAAATATTTCTAAATTGTTATTTCCCAAGCCCACCAAAACCTTCTTAAAAGTTTTAGAAGTATACCACAAATAGTTAAAAGACTGTAATTCTGGGATGGCTGGTAAGAGCAGGAGGACACTAACGTGGCTGGAGGAGCTAAGGGTTGTGACAATATGGTAAGTGCCAGCTGCAGTAAACATCCCTCAGAGAGTCCACACTGCAGGTGGGGGCTGACATACCGGGTCCTCCGGATTGTACTGGATGACGTATTCTATCTGCCCATTTGGTCCATCATCTATGTCTGTAGCTCCGTTGTCTCCTGAAAACCCTGTAAATATTGTGGTGCCGACCGGAGTGAGCTGAAAGTAAAACGAGAAAGACACGGTCACTTCTCATTCATCCAGGGCACAGCAGAAGTGTCCCAGCACCCACCCAGCCTCTTGTCACACAAAGGAACACAGGAGGCAGCTGTCCACCGCCAGAGACCTGAAGCGTTTCAAGACAACACTTGCAAGCCTTACGTGGGAGTTCTCGCAAAGGCTGCAATTTCCATCATCACGGTCCCTGCTTTGGGTGGGAAATAAAAGGCCCTCGTTCAGCGGGAGCACTTGTGGACCAATCGATCACCGTCAGCATCTTAGGCCCTGTGGAGAAAACATATCTGCCGTTCCTCCTTTAATAAAAAACCTCGATGCATTAGGTCATCGACAAGCTGGAATTTAAATCGTACGAAGGAGCTGGCGACTTCACGTTAAAATCAAAAACCAGTTCAGAGACACCAATGAAACGACACGCCTGTGGAAATCTGAGGACGAGAGGCTGGGGACAGTGGTGCCTGGCCCATCAGAGGAGGGAGAGGGCTGACGGCTTCTTCTGTCCTTGCAGGGTGTTGGCAACACTGCCGTGTATTTTCATTTTGGATGAAACCCAGGGATTCCCTGTTATTTTCCATGACCTGTGGGGTACCTCTGTACAGGCAGTGCATTCCTATGCCCAGACCTTCCAGTCCTCAGGTTTTCGCTGGAATCCTACTCATTACTTACATTTCAACTTAACTAGGTATCACCCGCTCCTAGACTGCACCCAACAGAGCATTCTCTGATGGGCATCTGAGTCGGGAGACCTTCTTGCTGTGCTGGCACTTATTACTTTATCTCCTTCATCGCCGCACTGAAATAATGTGTAAATGAATTTTGTCAATAAACAGACCTCTTTGCCTCTACAGAGCAGAGGCTTTTACTTTTTTTTATTTTTATTTTTAGATATGTCTTGGTAGTTGTTCAATGGGATTCTCTCAATGGAGAAATTGTATCAGAGATTGAGAGAAAAAAAGGGAGTTAACTCATTTATTTCTGTTTTCAGTGGGTACGGATCCAAATCTGTATGGGGATCCACAGGTCACGGAAATGAGAGAAGCCTGATGGCCTTGGGGGTGAACGGAGAGGCACATACATTCTGTGAACTGGTAGCTGCAACTCAGCCCCAACAAATTCTTCCCATAATGGAATATGGTCTTCTAATATTCTCATTTTATACGAAATGTCTTGGTCCTAAGGTTGGCAATAGATTCTAGAGAATTGAACTATGAATTAGAGGGGCCAAACAGAATATACTCATGGTAGACAGGGTCCCTCATGTCCCGAAGCCACGGGCACAGCATCCCTACTGAGGGGAAGGAACAGGAGGTCGAGGAACTGGGCCCATGTGCCCGATGTTGGAGACCCTCACACCAGCGAGTGGGCTGGTGGCCGGGGAGCGAGAGCTACACAGCGAGTATGTTCTGGAACAATCACAGCCTTCGTGTGTCATCAGCCCTGCCAGCCCAGTCAGTACGCACTGAGGACAACGTGTCAGAACACTGATTGCTTGTACCAATTCACTATTACTAAAACCAATTAGTTTTTATTTTTAACACGTTTTTTAATGTTATTTATTTATTTTGTGTGTGTGTGTGTGAGAGAGAGAGAGAGAGAAAGAGAGAGAGGACACAAGCAGGAGAGGGGCAGAAAGAGAGGGAGACAGAGAATCCCAAGCAGGCTCCCTGATGTTAGCACAGAGCCTGAGGCGGGGCTCAAACCCACAGACTGTGAGATCATGTCCTGAGCTAAACCCAAGACTCAGACACTTAACTGACTGTGCCACCCAGGTGCCCCAGTGTTTTTAAACTGAAGGAAGAAGTTTGAACACAATCAGTTAATTAGTCACCTGTACATTATGAAACATGGTGACTTCAACCCACGGCGCCACATCAAAGTTATTTAGAAGTAAAACAAACAAAAAAGTAAAACAAACAAGAGAAAAACCTTAGGACTCTCTCACCTGATAATGTAACAAGTTATCTAACATTCAGTGCATTTTTACTATACAGTGACATTATTTTCTTTCGGAAATTTTACATTATGTAGACAGGTTGACAGTTTTCTCCATGCTGGTTTAATAATAGAAATTCAAGTTGACTAGATGTAAAGTTTGAAGTATTATCTATCCACATAGAAAAAAAAAGCAAAAGCAAAAACAAAACAAAAACACCTAACCTCACATTGGAATCTCAGAATCCAAGATGCAAATGAATCCTCCCTGATGATTCGTGTAAGTGATGGGATGGCAGTTTTATATGAAAAGAACTATTTTTAGTCAATAAAGCATAATATTCTCTAAATCTCAACATTATCTATTACCCAGACTTTTCAAGATTGAGTTTCTAGAAATAAATATTCTATATAGTATTTGTTTGGAATGGATGATTTGAAGGATGTTACTTCTTACTATGCAATATTTGCAAATTCAAAGACCCTAGCCATGAAAAGATCTGTATCTTTCTCCAGCTGTCCAAATGTTTTTGAAACTCAAAAAAGGCAACACAAAACTGCTATGGTGCTTTAATGTACTACGGCCAATTAATATTTTTCCTCTTCCTCACTAACATGTTTCCTTTAGATGTAAACATCACTGGGCTTCTTGTGTCTCAGTTGGTTGAGCGTCCAACTCTTGATTTTGGCTCAGGTTATGATCCCAGGGGGTTCTGGAATCTAGCTCTGTGTCACGTTTCATGCTGAGCATAGATCCTACTTGGGATTCTGTCTCTCTCCCTCCCTCTGCCCCTCTCCTGCTCACTCTCTCTCATGCAAAACTAAATACATGAAATTTAAAATACGAAAATAAAAATTTATAAGGAGGTATAATTTTTAATAGCTAGTCATTCGAAATAAACCCCACATTATTTTATCGGTTGCCTTTATAAAAATACATTCAGTGACAAAGTCTAACAAAGACGGTTGTTAGACTACATGTAAAAGGACTTACCATGCATTTGTTTATGGTGGTAATTTGAGGTTGGTCGAAAAAGCAATTTAATTTCAATCATGCTCGTTTTAGGACTTAAGATTATTTTGGGGTGCTGCACATACCTGGCCCCAGTAGAATTTATGTGACCATATATACTTTCATTAATTCCTTGAAATTACAAGTAGAAATATGATTATACAATAAATTCTACTAGTTTGTGTGTTTGGATGGAAAATAACAGGAAAACAGTTGCCTAGTTGTGTACATAGAGAATCAATCTTACCATTGCCATAATGACATCATACAAAAGTTATGAATGATCTCTATCTAAATAGAATCTTAAGCTCATTTAATTCATTTATTTTCATTTTTTCTCAATATAATGTATTGCTATTCATGTTTCTCGACATATTACTTAAAAATTTTTATTTAAATTCTAGTTATCTAGCATATAATGTAATATTGGTTTCAGGAATGGAATTTAGAGATTCATTACTTAAAGCTCTTTTCTGTTTTTGAGAGAGAGCATGCACATGCACAGAAGCAGGGCAGAGAGAGAGAGATGAAGAGAGAGAGAGAGAGAATATCCCAAGTAGCCTCCAGGCTCAGCATGGATCTCGATGTGGGGCTCGATCCCGTGACCCAGGGATCATGACCTGAGCCAAAATCAACAGTTGGCTCTTCAACCTACTGAGCCACATAAGCTCTTTTTAAAAGGAGAATCAGTGCCTTGGAAATGGAACGGAAAGCATTATTATAACAGCAGCAGATTTCTGCACCACATTTGGTTCGGGTGTTGTCTGCGTTTGCAATTTCAGTAAGGATTAGAAAGACTTTCACTCCAACTTTGAAAATGTGGTATTTACTTGTTGAGAGCAAAGGACTCAGAAATATGCCACGTCATTCATTCAGCATTTGCATTGACTGGTGAGTTCTGTTCTCTTCCATACTTGTATGTTCAGGCCAAAGATGTTGGCACATCTTCTCCTCATTTCCAAATTTCCCCCGCAGACACACAGCGGTAAAATGCAGCCTGCACACTTGTATCTGTGGTCTACTGCTCACATGGTTGCCCTGTTCAGATACAGGCAAGTGTTAGGAATGTTGAAAGCTAACATAAGAAAAACAGCTAAGAAAAAAGAAGGCACGGCATTCTGTGCTAATAAGCAAGGTCTGGAGAGATGAAGAGGTTCCAGTGAGAGAGTTCACTAGCTGCTAACAAGCAAAAGGGAGTTGGGACACATGACATGGTTTTAAACAATATAAGTTTTCAGCACAGATTTTGTTCATTATATCTATACCCAGTGGAAGAAAGCACATATCCATACACACACACACACACACACACACACACACACACACACACACACTCCATAAATGTCAAACCACACAGTGGTGCTTTGTAAATTTCTGAATATGATGTAGGGGTTGAAACATGACAGGCTGTTTATTACAAAACTACATTGCCCTATACATCATTATTAACGGTTTTCAGGGCACATCTGCCATGCAGATGGGCATGTTCCGTGTTAACATTTCAGCAAGTCTCAGAAATATACATTTGGTTTTCTGAAGGGCATTCTATGCATGGGATGATCATTGGCTTGGGCAGCTGCCTGAGGGCGTCACTTACTTATTTAGTTCATATCTTTTCCCACAGATGATTTTACAGCTACTGGGAAATACAGAAAACGCACAGATACGTGCAAATGTAAAAGTTAAAGAAAATCAAAGCAAGAAAATTCAGTATTTCAAGAAGATGCATAAGATAAATTAGAATGTGAAAATAAAAATGAACAGTTCTCAGTTAACCGTCTGTGTATCTCATGATCCATGGTAGTGAAGCCAACCTAAACATTATGAACAGTGCTCCAAAGAGAGATTTGTCCTCACATGCAATCTTATTTGCAGTATTTCCCCACACAAGCATTGCATTCATGGTTTCATGTAAATAAAACTGATTCTCATTACCCATGGTAATCTTATTCTATAAAGTCATTGTGAACACTGAATTAACAAATACTGAGCCATTGCTTCTAGAGAGAATACAGGGTTATTACACCACTGGGGTGGG